AACGTAGCTCCATTGATTTGAAATCTCATTTCTCAGCCTATTGATAAAGCACACACAGGGGCGGTGTGGAAAGCAGGAAGCACCCGCCAGAGGAGGGAGGGAGGGCTGCAGGGAGAAGAACCCTCCCCAGCAACCTCTTGGCAGGGCGACTGGCGGGGAGCCTGGGATGTGGACGCCAGTAGGCCAGGGGCACATGCTACACTATCACTGCATCCTTTACACAGGTCACGTACTTCTGTGCTCCACCTGTCTGGGGAAGGAGGAGACTCTTACTAAAATCTAGATTTTGCATTTGATTTTGAATTTCCTGAATTCTCCATGAAACGCATTTCATCCGAGTTAGCTTCTGAGAAAACTTAGTCACTTCTTTCGGCTCGATTTTCTGCCACTCACATCTCTCTCTTGGGTCACAGCGCAGAGGAGAAAGCTGCCTGAGGAAAGTCGTCCATCACCCTATGATGGACAAGAGGGAGGAAAAATATACATTCATCTATTTCCAATGTGTGTGTGGGGGGAGAGACATCTGTTTGCTTTCTAGGAAACATTTCTCCCACAGAACAACCAAAACACAGCCGTCAGGGCTCAGGGGCTCGGCTGCCAGCCGCGTCCTGCAGTTGGGATGCCGAATTAGTGGTGGCGGCGTCTCCACAGCAGGGGGCGACCCCGGACAAGCCTTCACTGCAAAACACCGGCCTCCTCCTCACTTCCTGCCAGAAACCAGATTCACACTCAGAAAATTCGCAGTGGTTCTCGCAGTGGATTTTAGCATCCTACAAAAAAAGAGTCGCGTTTACTCTTTCCGTAAATAATCCCTCTCTAGGCCGAGCGCGCATCATCTCACTGACGCTCTCTCTTGCGCATCTGTCTCGGGGCAGCCAGGGTCAGGCGTGGTGGTTCAGACCTGGGCTCCACCAGCTGGTGCTCATCGCGGCCAGGACACCAACTGGGAAGATTTCTGGAAAGCTAATCTAGAAAGCTAGACTTAGACAGCATCTAACGAGCCATTCATACTGAGCAAAGACCATCGCTGTGCACTTACACCCACTAAAATCCTTTCTCGTCTGAAACGCACATATCTAAGACGGCAGTTCCCAGTACAAGAGATTTGGGTTCCAGGCCCTTTTCCGTGAGTTCTCTTCAACCTCGTCACCTCTTTTCTCCTCTCTGCGGGCCCAGTGAAGCCTGTGCAGGGACCCGAGCCAACGTCCTCACTTAGCTTCCCTCCCGAGACTGGTTCGTTGGCCCCTGAGAATGCATTAAATCCCTCCCACAGGGCAGGTACCCAGGGCATGGGTGCTGCCTGAGGCAAATACTGGACAGCTGTTGGTCCCAACTTTTCCTCCTTCTTCCCGGACAGTCATCCCTCACTATCCACTGGGAATTGGTTCCAAAATCCGAAGGTGCTCCAGTCTCGTATATGAAATGGCCTAGTTCGCATATAGCCTAAGCACATCCTCCCTTACGCTTTATATCATCTCTAGATGACTTATAACTCCTAATACCATATAAATGCTATGTAAATAATTGTAAATACAATGTAAATGCTATGTAAATAGTTGCCTGCATGCAGCAAATTCAAGTGTTGCTTTTTGGAACTTTCTGGATTTTTTTTTAATTTTAGATGCATGGTTGGTTGAATTCAATCCATCCACAGATGCAGAGGGCCAGCTGTATAACTAGGCCACCCTTCAGAGCCTTCCAAGCAGTCAGGACCGAGTTCTAGCCAAGTGAGCCCTGTGCCCTCTCCAGACCTGGCCTTGGAACCAGTCTGGTCTCTTCCACAGCAGACGGAAGATGGTAGAGCCTAGGATGGAAGGACCCCTGAGTCACCACACAGAGGAAAGCTGCCCATCAATCAGAAAACTAGGCTCTGTACTTTATGAAACTTCTGTGTTAAATGTTTAAGATTGGGGTGACCTGTTGCAGCAGCTACAATTACCTTACCTCCTGCTGCCTCTACCTTGGGCACTGGGTGACTCAATAACACTCTGTGGGAGGAACACAAGCCCGTGAACCATCTTGCATTCACCCAGCGTGCCAAAGATGCAGAGAGGAAGACCAAAATCTTGGAAAGAAGGATGATAGCCACACGATTTTCGCCGTTTTTTACCTTTTGGATACAGTCTGAGATTTTTCCCCCTCCCCTTAGATGACTAGAAAAGATCTTCAGGACTTCCCTGGTGGCACAGTGGTTAAGAAACTGCCTGCCAATGCAGGGGACACAGGTTCGAGCCCTGGGCTGGGAAGATCCCACATGCCACGGAGCAACTAAGCCCGTGCGCCACAACTACTGAGCCTGCGCTCTAGAGCCCATGAGCCACAACTACTGAAGCCCCCGCGACTAGAGCCCGTGCTCCGCAACAAGAGAAGCCACCACAGTGAGAAGCCTGCGCACCACAACGAAGAGTAGCCCCTGGCTCCCCGCAACTAGAGAAAGCCCACGCACAGCAACAAAGACCCAACACAGCCAAAAGTAAGTAAATAAATAAATATTTTTAAAAAAGAAAGAAAAGATCTTCAAAGTCTTCAAAACCTAAGTTCTGAACCAGGGGAGATGTACAGTGGCCTGTGAGAGCAAAGAGGAGAGGAGGGTCACCCCCTGTGTGTGTTCTGACAAGGTGGCCACCATCATGCCAACACCGCCAACCACGCTCCAGAATGCTTGAAGCCTCTTCTGCAACCTTGCTCTCACAGTGAGCGGTCACAGCAGATGACCCCACGTCTGTCCACGCAGCCTCTGCCATCTCTCAGCAGAGTGGGGAGCTGGTGAGTCGTCATCGGCCCCTTTCATGAGGTCTGCATCGCTCTTCCATGGCAGCTCTCCCCGGGACATGCAGGTCTCTCCTGTTCTGACCATTTTCATTTATGAAAACCTGTGCTCAGGCAGGTAGAGGATGGACAGGCCTGATAAACCAGCCCCTATTGAGGTTAAAAGGACACCCATCACTGGTGGATTCCTAACCATGTAAGAACACTAAGGAATCATCTAGTCCAGGCCCTTATCCCTTAGAGAAGGAAACTGAGGCCCAAAGGAAGGGAGTGACCTGCCAAGAAATGATGCACATGGGGGCAGAACCCACATGTCTTATCCTTGATTCCACACCTCTCCCCCTCTCTTGGCCTCCATCACTCTGAATGGATTTTACAGTTTTCCATGGAAAAAACTTCAAGGCTCTGATCCTCTGATAGTGGGATTTGGGACATCAGCAGAGAGGCCAAAGCAGCCCTTCCCAGTGCCACCCAAACACAGGCACCATCTGTAAATCCAAGCATGGACTCGTAAGACTCATAGGAGAACAGGGCCCAGTTTTCTCTGGGGCCATGGCTGGGAGGGAGTCCCCACTCAGCCTTCACCACCTTCCTTTCCTAGCTGTCATCTGGGGGCCCTGTGTGGGCACACCTACCAATATTTGTTAATTTGATTTCCTTTCTTCACTCAACATTATCAAGGCTCACACTGGGGTATTGAGGGGCCTATGGAACTTATTTTTAAAATAGCAATGAAGGCCCTAGAGAATTCTTATGTCTTTAAGACTGTGGCCAACCTTGGAACTCCATCAGAACTGCATGCTGCAAGGGACAAGAACCAGATTTGGCTCTGAGTACTTCAGGGATATCAGGCACAAAAACCACACTTACTGAGCACTTGCTATGTGCCGGACGCCAATCCAAATGCTGAAGGAAGGGGTCTGAGTCATGGTTCATAGTTATCGACGGATCGAGGAGCAATTGAGAGAGAGACAGAGACAGAGAGTGGGAGAGAGATTTACTGCAGGGGTTAAAAGCAGGTACATTCGGGCTTCCCTGGTGGCGCAGTGGTTGGGAGTCCGCCTGCCGATGCAGGGGACGCGGGTTCGTGCCCCGGTCCGGGAGGATCCCACATGCTGCGGAGCGGCTGGGCCCGTGAGCCATGGCCACTGAGCCTGCGCGTCCGGAGCCTGTGCTCCACAACGGGAGAGGCCCCAGCAGTGACAGGCCCGCATACCGCAAAAAACCAAACAAAAACCAGGTACATTCATTCAAAGAGCTTTATGCCAAAACCAATTTTGGATGATTTTTTTAAAGTTTTAACCAATGGCTTTGACACTCTAGATAGATCAAGGAGGGTGTCATTCCCCATCCCGGCTGATATTTCACTGTCAAAGTCATCTTTAGAACAGTTAAAAGTGCCCACTGGTTCCCTGGGTGCTTTGGTTCACTTTTTTTTTTTTTTACTATTTGCTGGCATGGAGGGCAGTTTGTCTTCCTCAGCGTTGGGGGTTTGGGAACCAGAGGTTCTTCATCCGTTCTGGGGGGCCACCCAGTGGCTCTTCCTCGCCGGAAGAGGAGCAGGCTTACCCCGTCTTTCTGCTGCACTGTGTCTTCCGCGTGGCAGCTGAAGGCAGCACGGAAGCTCTAACAGACTCACACTCCAACTGGACAGCACCAGGACCGAAACCAGGGCGAGCAGAGGAGAGCAGAGGGGCTCCCCTGAGAGGTGAGACTGTTGTGTCTCTAGGGTAACCCCCCCCCCCCCCCCAGAGCATGAGCACAGACCACAAGCCTGGAACACCTGCAGCATTCCTCATCTGCTTCCCTGGGACACGAAGACCCTCAGGGCAGCCCTAACTGTATGACTGTCTCAGGGACACAGAGCCGGGACTGTCAGCAGCCAGAGTGCCCCCCTCTGCTCAGTGAGGACAGCCACCCAGCCAACAGCCCAGCGACACTAAAGCAAGCCAGCGGCCACCCTTCATCCTGTGCACCTCACACCCACATGCAATAAGAACCCAAGATGACCCCCAAAAGACCCCAAAGTTTTTAGTCATATTTCCTGCATTTGTGGTTTCTCCTTTAACACAGTGAAGTAGGAAGTGTGATATGGCAACGCAATCAGCATTAATTTTATTAAAGGGGTTTGGAGAAGTTAAACTAATATCCCTCTATGGATGACGTGCATAACAGATGCCCTTTATGGCTAAGCAGAAAAACAAACCAAAACAAACAACAACAAACCGTCAAAATAATCCACCCGAAAACATTAAAATATTCATGAGCTCTGTAAATCCAAAGAACGGGCTTTTCAAGCCCATACTGCGGTAAAATAAGACAATAGAACTAGAGTGCGACAAACTCATGGACCTGATGCTCGCCGGTTAATCCTTGGAGCTTCCATCCGCATTTGCACGCCAAGTGCAGGGTTCCCCAGAAGGCTTCATCTAAATTAAATCCCTGCTGCGCTGCACCGGAGCCTCTTGGGAAGTCGGTCTGTCCCGCCAGCTCACCTTTCTGCAGGTCGATGTTCTCGGTCCTGGTCGCCGCGCTCCCGGGGAGGGACGCCGGCCGCTCACACCCACTCGGACTTGCTGGGGCCCGGGAGCGTGGCGCTTGGCGCGCAGGGGCGCTCCTCCCACCCCGGGGCCGCCGCTCCCGGCCCGGCCCCGCGCGGCTGGTCGCTGGCAGAGGACAGCGCGTCGCTCTCGTCCTCCCCTGGCAGATCCGGGTGTCCCGGCTCGGTGGGCTCCGCTGCGGGGCTGTACGCGCCCTGCCCTCCAGTCCGCAGGCCCCGGCGAGCGCGCGCCCCACGTCCCTCGGGCGCCCTGTGTCCCTCCCGCGCCGCACTCCCCGCCCCTTGACAAGGCCTCCTCCGGGCCCCGCCGTGTCGCCTGCGCGTCTCCCAGCGCACGCTGCAGACCAGGTCGGCGACACTGAGCAACAAGGACAGCGCGCAGACCGCCCAGACGAAAAGCATCAGGATGGACTTCTCCGTGGGCCGAGAGACGTAACAGTCCACCACGCTGGTGCAAGGAGGGTGCGTGCACGAGAATCTCTTGGGGACCAAGAATCCGAAGAGGAGGTAATGCAGGGCACCGAAAGCTGCCTCCGTCAGGGTCCGGAGGCAGAGGTGGACCACGTAGCCCGAGGAGAAGTCCGGCACCGTCAGGCAGCGCCTGGCCCCCGGGGTCAGTTCAGGGCCGTCGTGGTCCTCCGAGTCATCATCCAGCCAGCAGGATCCACGTGCCGCCAGCTCGGCTCCTTTGTGCAGCACGTAGACACTGAAGACGGCGGATGGAAGCAGAACAGACACGCTCTGGATCAGCCAGAACCGCAGGTGGGACACGGGGGCGAAGATGTCGTAGCAAACGTTGGCGCATCCGGGCTGCAGAGTATTGCACACGAACCTCTCCTGCTCATCCTGGTAGACCGGCGACCCGGCCAGGATGAGCACCCCCATCCTCAGCAGCACCATGAAGATAAGCCAGACCTTCCCTGGAAAGAGGCAACAGGAGGGGCGCCGTCACAGCCAGACAAACACATCTCCTCCTCCCAGCAACAGTTTTAAATCTTTACTGGTGCTGAGCCTGGAGAACTAAGTGTGTAAGCATGTGTTTTAGTCACAGCAACGGTATCAGCCTGTTAGCTCATTGGACGAATGTCTAATGAGCACTTACAAGGTGTCGGACAGTGTGTTCAACTAGGCACACCTCGGAGATACTGCGGGTTCAGGTCCAGACCACCCCCCAGAAAGCGAGTCACACGGATCTTTTGGTTTCCCAGTGCATATAAAAGCTGTGTTTCCACTATACCTTGGTCTATTAAGCGTGCAATAGCATGATAAAAAACAATGCACATACCTTAAGTAAAAAGTACTTCATTGCTAAAAATTGCTAACCATCCTCTGAGCCTTCAGCCACTGGTGGTAGTAACATCAAAGATCACTGATCACAGCTCATCAGAATAAATATAATAACAATGAAAAAGTTGGAAATATTGTGAGAATTACCAAAATGTGACACACAGACATGAAGTGAGCAAATGCTGTAGGAAAAATGGCACCAATAGACTTGCTTGAGGCAGGGTTGCCACAAACCTTCAACTGTTAAAAAAAAAAATGCGGTATCTGAGAAGCACCATAGAACGAGGTATGCCTGTACGTGTTTGTAAAATGCTTTGAAATTGGCAGATTTAAAGAAGCATGAATACTAAAATGTTTAATCTAGTTTGGCTAGTTCAGAGTTCGGGCTGAAAGTTCTAGAAAGAAAATTGGGCGGATGGAAATAAAGTCTTCCTCTTAAAAAGAGTGAACTTTTTCAAGGATGTTAGTGCACTCCTGTAACCGTGTATAGCAAATACACCGTTCAGTGAGTTTTCTCCACGGTAAGAGTCCACGCGATCTTTATGTAATCAGTGGGCTCTGAAGCCCTTGAAATCGAATTTCTTGAAGAACATTCAGTTTTTCAGACTCTTCAGTAATTCAGAACTCCTTCCCCCCATTCCAACTATTATGAATTGAAGTTTGTCTTTCTTCAATTTATCATGAATAAATGAGGCTAACATAGAAATCAAAATAACTTCCAAGTCCTATTTTCATTTCATGAGTCAACTATTTTGGAGTGTGTTGAAGACCCAGTCAAAATAATTTGTAAATATTCTGTTTTGTGATGAGATACAGAAATCATCACCTGACACCAGAAAAACTAAACTCTCTTATAAACGAAGGCAGTTCAACTCAAGTACTGTGTGACCATTACGTGATAAAGTCATTAACTCAAACTTCTAAAACCAAGTTGGCTTCGACTAAAAAGCAATGAAGAAAATATCAACCACTTCACAGACATATTTTAATCCTTTTCTCAATCCCCTTTAATAGGACACCCATACCTCTCTGAAAATTTAACTCGGCTACAACAAACTCAGAAAACGTATTACTTTGTCAAAAAAATAAAAACTAAAATTGGGATTTGGTTTAAAGTGCACAGAGAACTTACTATTCTTTACAAATGGAGCTTCAAGGATAAACCCTAAAAAGATGAACAAGAAAGCTTACTCAAGGCATGAATTTCTCTAACTTTGACTATATTGTTCCTTTTCCTGGTAACGTAGCCAGAGAAGAGTTACACAAAAATACCCCTCCCATCTGCTCAGCCCCCAAATGTCAGCAAAAAGACTCCCCTTGAGAGAAACATCGCTCACTCCCAAGACATCCTTAAAGGATGGGGGAGCCTCCTTAAATAATGGAGAATTAGAGGAAAGCTTGAGCCCTGGTTCCCTGTCCTCCAGGGATAGGCAGGCCTTACTCATGGGGGAGGGCCAGGAAAAGTGACCCAAGGCAGAACCAGTGTTCTGCAGGGGTTGGCGCTACTCACCCACCATGGTCACGTTGCAGTTTAGGGTGATGACGAGGAACCCCAGCAGGTCCAGCTGGTCCATGCTTTCAGGGGGTCACAGACTCAAGGTGGCTGGAGACTTCCAGAGCCTGTGTTCTCCAAGGAGGTGGGAAATCTTTGCAGGAAAAAATGTATCTTAGCTACAAAAGACTCCCAGGTGAGAGCTGGAGATACTAAAGAGAAGATTCAAGCCCAGGAGCACAAGGTTGTTCTTCTGTCTCCAGTTGAGACGGTCCCGAGCTGTGTGAGGCAAAGCCTTCCTGACAACTGCAGTGATCAGAGGCCAGAAGCAGCCGTCTCTCATCGTGGCTATTCTTACCCTCTTGGGACATTCCAGGCCCTTGGCAGTGCTCACGTGTCTCCACCAGGAGAGCTGATGCTTCAGGATATAAGAGAAGCGATGACGGTCATCCCAAGAAAGAAAAGTTCTGTTAACCAGCCAAGTCTCTATTAAAAAGGCATTTCCTCCTTGAAAACATTTCCGCACCCACTTCTTCACTGCTTAAAGCAGCACTAAAATGTCCATATTTCGTCTCTTCTATGAAGCATAATCCACCATAACTCGAGCCCCAAAGGATCTTGTCCTCAACTCTGAATTCCTATACCATGGGTGCCAGCAGGAATCTGCACCTGGGATGCATGTCCCAGCGTTAGGCTGTGACACAGTCATTCCGTAGCTGCTTCCTGTCTGGCTTAGTGACGAGAGCCCTTCACTCAGAGACAAAGGACCTGGATGCAAAACTGGGGGCAGCCACCTGGTCACCAGGAGTCACTAAATCTCCCGATAGCCTTGTCTTGCAGTGGGTTTTGTGGGAGACAGACATGAAATGATGGTGTTAAGAGCACCTAGCATGCAGAGGGTGTGCAAAACTCGAATCAGTGGCATTTCCATCCCTAACTGGCCCCAAAGACCTTCATAGATGATGTCCTCCTTTTGTATCTCCCGGCCCCATCGAGCCCAGGGCTGGTGCCGTTGAATCAGCTTAACAAATGTCCATTAAATTTGTCATAAAATATCACCGTCTGGACCTGCTGACATCAATCACAGTTGCATCAAAATCCTCTCGTGGCTGCCACCTTTCTATCTGGGAAGAGCCCATCCTGCAAGGCTGGGGGTCTATCCTCAGAGTGGAATTTGTGAACTTTAAAAGGAATGATTTCAATTTTCCATGAAAGCTATTCTTGATATCCTACCTTTTCTCCATTTCTGATCTATTCTTGACTTTAGTAATAACCCTAGAAAGAGTCCCCAAGGAAGAGTACAACAAAGATGCTTTCATCTTCATGCACAGGACACGTTTCCACCCACAGAAAACATTTTGACCCCCTTGAAAGGAACAGTAGTTTTGCTATATTTTAGTCAAACGCTTTGACATGAACAATGAAATTTAGAGAAATTGTAGTCACATTAAAATTTTGAAGTACTTGTTTCAAGGGTTCAAGTATAAAATAAAGGAAAATATCTTCACTTTCTAATAGACCGTTCAGGTTATTGGCTTAAAAATGGAAAGACCAGGAAAGCAATGACTGAATTTTGCTGTATGATATAAATAGCCTATTCTGCATGGGGATTCAGTTAGAATGTTGTGACCTTGAGCAAATCACTAGGGCTTTTCATGCCTCAGTTTTCTCATCAGTGAAGTAGAAAAAAAAAATGTGCCTTTTACCTACACAGAGAGGCTGTGACATGCAAAGTGAGATCATAGGCACGAAAATGGTTTAAAAATGTAAAGAATTACGCATGGGAGTGGCTGGTGGTGCATCTCAGGGTCTGCTCCTCTGGGTTCCCACCCTCAGCCTTTCCTTTTGCTCCCATGGCATCTTCTGGCTGCCTGTCCCCTCCCCCTCCTTCATCACTTTGCCCTCCCTCCTCTAAGTCTACCTGGTCCCCATTCTGTCTTTCTTCCTCTCTCTCCTTTGTTTCCTCTCTCTCCTGCTAGAGGGCATCTTGCTTTTCCTGGAAATACTAACCCCTTGTGGCTGCCAGAAACAAGACGGGGACAGAGAGGAGGGGCTGTAACTGGAGCATCAGATCCTACCTCTCCCTCCATAAAATTACCCCAGAATCGATGGGGAACTCTGATTCGCGTGTCTGTTGGGTGGAGAGAATATCCAGGGGAGTCCTGTGCTCGGCCCAATGGAAAAGAAACCCAGCAGGAGTCAGGGACACTTCTGCCTTCCCCCTTTTCCTTTTCCTTTTTCCATACTGACTTCTGAGATGTGCATCTGTCCACTAAACCATATCACCCACAAGACAGCACAAACTGGTCCCCATGGGGAATACAAAACCCCCCAAATTCCATTCTCCACAGACTTGCTGATTCATGCAGATTTAGAAAATACCTTAAAATCCACTCAGCCACCTTCCTAATTTTCCTAATCTTGAAATTAAAGGTATAGCCCAGACCACCGGCCTCAGTAGAGCGCTTACATGACATTCGGTGTCCCTGCCCTGCCCAGAGAATGTTTGATCCAGGAAACATTAAAAGTACAAAAAAGTTTCAACTCTCCAGAATGTTAAAGAAATTCAATTATCTGCATAATACAATGTTAGCATTTCAAGTATTTGAAATTGTATTTTTTTTAACTTTTTCATGGAAGTCTTTCTAAGACACCGCTGGAATCTAAGCAGAGGGGCAGGACCGGCTATACGGGTAGAAGGGATGCCCGGGTACCAAGAGTCACTTAGAATCAGGCTTTCCTTATGACGAAAACACAAGTCTCCACCACCAGCTTGCTTTTTGTTCCCAGGTGTTGGGCAGTAAGTCAGAACACCCTTCCTGAGTGCTGTGGTCTGAATGTGTCCCCCCAGAATTCATACCTTGAAATCCCAACCCCCAAGGTGATGATATTCGGAGGTGAGACCTTTGGAGGTGATTTATGGAATGAGTGCCCTTTTGAAAGAGGCCGGAGAAAGCTTATTCTCCCAGAACTGTGAGAAATGAATTTCTATTGTATCTGAGCCACCTAGTGTATAGCATTTTGTGATAGCAGCCCAAATGGAATAAGACACTGTGATATCAGCTGAAATGGAATCCAACAGATGTTCTCACCATCCAGGCAGGAGGGAGGCATCCTCTTACTCGTTACTGTTACTATAGATGTGCTGTGACTTATGGGTGCCTTTTGAAATATCATTGCTAGTGTGACAAACACAGTTCAGTCCATATTTACTAAGCACCTACTATGTCTCAGGCACTGTTCTTGGCACAGAGAATGAAACAAGTTGCTGCCCTCGCTGAACTTACATTCTAGTGGAAAGAACTGACAGTAAACAAGGGAACGTGAATTACTAATTAGAGGGTGGTAAGTGCTGGAGAGGAGAATAAAGTGGAGATAGGAGTAAAGGATGCCCAGGAGTAGTAGGGCGGCCAGAGACAACCTCGCTAAGGAGGGCACATCTGAACCAAGACTGAGGCAGGGGAGGGAGGGAGTCCTCGTAATTCCTACTCTCTTTTCTAATTTGCCCAGACCCAGGCCTACGTAGCAAAAGTTACTAAATGGTCCCGAATCCTTTCTAGGGCCTGTGTATGCACCATGTTACACAGTGCAACCTCTCAGGACCCTCACTGAGCATGTGGGTCCGAGGGTGAAGCAGTGGGACCACACTGCAGAGCAGGGACCAGGGATGCAGTGGAGCTGTTCCCCAGCATCCAGCATGGGGTCGCTGCACCTGCCACAGATACACCTGGGGGATTTCTGTTTTCAGGTCACGTCCAAACAGTTCAAAATTCTTCATCAAAACAGTCGCCGGTAGTCAAAGAGGTCATTAGGGAAAGAGTACAGACTTCCAGGTCAGAGGGTCTGGGTTCCAACCTGGTTCCAAACACATACCAGCGTTTGACCCTGAGCAAACATTAACCCATCTGAGCTTGTTTTCTTCTCTTCACGGAGTTGAGGATTCATTCCTTCCAAATGTATTGAGGTCCCTCCTGAGAACTCTGTCAAGTCTTGAGAATGAAAACTGAAGACTGGGATTGAGACATACACACTACTATATATAAAATAGATAACTAATAAGGACCTCCTACATAGCACAGGGAACTCTACTCAGTACTCCGTAATGGCCTATATGGGAAAAGAATGTTAAAAAGAGTGGATATATGTATTTTTTTAAACATCTTTATTGGAGTATAATAGCTTCACAATGGTGTGTAAGTTTCTGCTTTATAACAAAGTGAATCAGTTATACATATGCATATGTCCCCATATCTCTTCCCTCTTGCATCTCCCTCCCTCCCACCCTTCCTATCCCACCCCTCTAGGTGGTCACAAAACATGGAGTTTATCTCCCTATGCTATGCAGCTGCTTCCCACTAGCTATCTATTTTACGTTTGGTAGTGTATATGTGTCCATGCCACTCTCTCACTTTGCCCCAGCTTACCCTTCCCCCTCCCCGTATCCTCAAGTCCATTCTCTAGTAGGTCTGCATCTTTATTCCCCTCTTGCCCCTAGGTTCTTCTGACCACTTTTTTTTTTTTAGATTCCATATATGTGTGTTAGCATACGGTATTTGTTTTTCTCTTTCTGACTTACTTCACTCTGTATGACAGTCTCTAGGTCCATCCACCTCACTACAAATAACTCAGTTTCATTCCTTTTTATGGCTGAGTAATATTCCATTGTATGTATGTGCCACATCTTCTTTATCCATTCATCTGTCCATGGACACTTAGGTTGCTTCCATGTCCTGGCTATTGTAAATAGTGCTGCAGTGAACATTGTGGTACATGACTCTTTTTGAATGATGGTTTTCTCAGGGTATCTGCCCAGGAGTGGGATTGCTGGGTCGTATGGTAGTTCTACTTGTAGTTTTTTAAGGAACCTCTATACCGTTCTCCATAGTGGCTGTATCAATTTACATTCCCACCAGCAGTGCAAGATGGTTCCCTTTTCTCCACACCCTCTCCAGCATTTATTGTTTGTAGATTTTTTGATGATGGCCATTCTGACTGGTGTTAGGTGACACCTCATTGTAGTTTTGATTTGCATTTCTCTAATGATTAGTGATGTTGAGCATCCTTTCATGTGTTCGTTGGCAATCTGTATGTCTTCTCTGGAGAAATATCTATTTAGGTCTTCTGCCCTTTTCTGGATTGGGTTGTTTGTTTTTGTGATGTTCAAAACAAGCAGCATGAACTGCTTGTAAATT